TCGATTTGTCGAATCATCGCGCCGAGCTGTGTCAAGGGACCTATAAGCAGTTTTATACGCCTACACTTAGTCCACGGGAAGTCCTATTCTTTGGTGTCGGCGACGATAGCGTATATCCATCGAGGACTCCGCACGCTGACGGCCCAGTTCTGCCGGGTGTCGACTGTCGACGAAGGGGAAGGGGAAGTCGTCAGGACCCCCAATCCCAGAGTGGGGTTGCCATACACCTACTTGATGGCGTGGTTTATTTACCACTGTGAGTGTTTGATGAGCGCTCCCGCGACTCTTCAAGGAGACAGGTTCGTTCTGTTCCTTGAGCGTTTGGAGAGGTGCTCTTGGATGTGTAAAGACATTCCCGATGCGCGGAAGACACTCTCCCACTTTGTCCACTATAATTTTCGTCGCTTCTTCCCCTACTTCAGCGGAGGAAGATACGGCGAGTCTCTTAGGGATGCGTCGATGGCGGACCATCACACGGCTCTTCCTCGTGGCGCATTCCGATGGTTGGTAAACATTCGGCCGGGGTATCACATCTTACGCACAGGTTCTGTGTGTTACCTCGAGCCGTATATCCCTTGCAGGTTTGCTCGCCAGTTTGGGTACGATCAATTGTACGTGGGCAATGCCAATCCCCGCCTGCACTTCGAAGGAGGACTGGTGGACGGAGCTCGGGGATGGTTCTGGACCCATGCTGGTGGCACCCAGGCTCGCTTCAAATTACCCATGAAGGATCGTGATTTGCACCACACGCTCCTGTACTGTCGGTGGTATCGAGGCGCCAGCGCTAATCCTCCTGGTTTCTGGTTCCAGAGCTCATGTCTGACGGAACGTGATCGTCCTCTCAGAGGGTCTCTCCGTTCTTCAAGGCGAAGAGGCCATCAAACCGCTAGGGAGCTATTCTCAGAGGATCCAGTGGAGGACCCTGAGAGTTTTGACGCCGGTTTAGACGAATCTGAGGCTCCCGAGATTCGAGTTCCTTCTCTTGGTCCCTCGTTGGATGCCCCTGGTGAACCAAGAGAATCTGAACACCCAAGACCGGCCCAGAGTCCAAGAGTTGGACAGATGGGGGCTCCTCTTCTGTCTCCAAGTAGCTCGCTTCTCTCTAAATGTCAGCGGGAGACCGCAGCCGAAAGTTCTCGAGCAGAGGCGGCCAAGAAGGTCCGTCGCGACGAGACCGTCGAGACCACTCGATCGGCTGAAGGCCAGGATAATGTTTCCCAGACAAGCGTCCCTGGAGCGGCGACGTCTGGGTCTGGAGCTGTGTTGCCCGCCTCTTCTGCCGCATCGGGGGCAGTTCCAGCGACTTCGAAGGACGCTCCTCCGCAATCTGTCGTGAGCCCACAGACGGGAGTTCCAGCGACTTCTGTGTCCGCATCAAGAGGTAATCTTTACAACAGTACCCTTGATCACCACGTTAATCTTACACATTTTGACATTTGTATCGGGCCTATGCAGGTGCGGTTGAGAAAGTGATCTCCATTCCTTCCAACAAAGAGGAGGAAGCTGGAGATGACGAGGGGACCACAGGCTCAGGTAAGCGTAGGTTTTAGCATTGCTCATCCTTCTGTGCCCAACTGTCAATAGGGTCCCTTTCGAGGGGCCTCTGTTAATCCTCTTCGTGCATTCGTAGTTGATCGTGCCCCCAAAATTGCTGGCAAGGAGGATCCTCTTTCTTGGGCGGGTCGCTCGTCTGGGGAGACGGGTGAATCTGAGGAGGATGACAACGTCTCGATTCATGAGACGTTATCCAGTGAGGAAGAGGTGTTGGCTCGTGAGGATGCGCCCGGCCAAATAGGGGGATCTCCTGCTCTTGCGGAAGCGTCGGCTGGGGATCTTCCATCAGCGCAAGAGTCTCCGCTTCAAAGGGAGACTTCTACTCCGCAAGTGACCACTTCCTTCCACTGCTCCGAGGGCGTCATTGGTCACGCCGGCTTTGGCGGCGCCAATCCTTACTTCTACGGTTATGACCACAGGCGCTTCAACTGGAATTTCATCCACGGTGGAGGAGGCTGCCCTCTCTCCCTTGGAGCATGAGCGAAGAAGGAGTGCGGTACGATCTGTGGCTGATTTCCAAGACACTCTAGCCGGCTGGATCAAGATCGCTTTGGAGGAGAGTTGTCCCTTTGAGTGCTTCTTAATCAAGAGGCTTGGCCACACTGCGGCGAAGCCCTACTTCCAGCGTAAGGAGGAAGTGAAGGAAGCTGTTCAATGGTTGCTTGCTCTTCGCGCGAAGAGTTCCACTCTTGTGGATCTCGCAACCGGCGAAGTCCGAGCAGCGGTTGAAGAACGCGATCGCCATCTGAACGAGACCTTGTCACTGGAGGCAAGATTGTCAGCAGAGTTGGAGCAGGCCAAGGCTGAGGACGAACGAATGGCCTTCGAGCAACAGAAGGCCGATAATCGCATTTCTCGCTTGTCTTTGGAGGTAGAGAATCTGAAGCAGGTTATAGCTAAGGCGCAAGCCTCATTAGCCATTCAAGAGAAGGCTCGTGAACAGGCGGCCAAGGAGTTGGAAAGCATTGAATCTCGTCGGCAACTGACGGCTAATTCCGTCGAGGAAAAGGATCGAGCCCATAGGGAGGTCAAAGAGACCGTCCAAGACTTGGCCTCGCACACTGAGGAAGATCTTCGCCAAGAAATCCTGCGGAGGCTAGAGCTTCGTCATGCTAGGGAGATTCGTGAGGCGGAACTGCGGTTGAAAGCCTTGTAGTTTGCCCCTTTTGTTTTTGATTGCCAGTTGTATTAGGATTTCTTTCCATGAATGAAATTATCCTTTTGTTTTTTGGTTACTGTTACCTCTATGCATGCTCCATTTCTCTTTTAACATGCGTTAGCTAGAGTATTAGCTGTGAGGGGCGGTCTTCAGCCGTCGGCGAATCTCGACCGTGAGCTTGTCTCCTCTGCGAGCGGATTTCGTCCGCAGGCGGATTTGGACTTGACTCAAATTCCAGAAGGGTAATCAGTTTCGACCTGCGGGAACCTCAGCGGCGAATTCGCCATCAAATAGGCTCCGCTTTCGGTAGGCCACGTATTGTCTTGTGCTTACGTCAGCCGAGAGAACGTGGGCACGTCGCTCCGTATTAAATGCGGCGTAGTGGGTCTCTTCGTCCCCCGCGCCTGATTCGGGCCGTTGTTGAAGATCGTGCTTAAGAAAAACCGTTGGATCTTGGCCGTCCAGGTAAGATCCGATTTGTTCGGCCTTACCCTTCAACTGTTTTAGCCTTGAACGGTCTAATCAAGTATTGAGTAACCGCGTAGGGTTCTTAGGGTATTTAGCACTCTTACTCTCTATCAAGAGGATCTACAGCCTTTTCATTGTCTTCCCCAGAGTAAACCCAAATTTCTCCTTCCTCATACCCCCGATGACGCCGAAGGTGAAGAGGGTCGCTTCTAAGAAAAAGGAAAGAACTGTCTTCTTCGGGCGCTGCTAAGGCTGCCGCGGCCGAAGGTATTTCCTTCCCTTGACTCCTCTCTGTGTTATGGTCGTGTTTTACAGATCGAGGGGAAGCGCCGGTTGCCGAAGAGCATGTGGCCGAGCCTATCTTGATTTCGGACGATGAATCCGAAGGTCCTGCGACCTCCGCCGCCTCAGACCCTGCTCCCCAGCCGGGAGCTAAACCCTGCCTCGAGATTCCGCCCATCATGGCGCTCGCTCCGGGCCAAGTGCCTGCTCCCTCCGAGTCCTTGTCCTGGCAGGCTCACATCGAAGAGTTCGAGAGCACTGTGAGACAGGTGATTTCCCTTGTCGACCTCGGCATGGGTAGTTTTGACAGCTTCAGGCAGTCTCTCTTTGATCGCGTGGCTGATTTGCGGCGATCGGGCGAAAATCGACTCGCTACCCGTTGCATGCATGAGCTCCGTCTCTTGGAGTCACGCATGATAGGGTTAGAGACCTTGCTACGGGAAGGCCCGGAGGCCAACATGGAGTCTTGCCTGGCTCATGTCAGGCGTCAGGAAGCCCTGGAGCAGGAGACCCGTTCCAAAGAGATAGCGGATTTGGAGTCCGTCGCCAACTTCTGGGTGGGTCAACAACATTTTCTAGAGGAGCAAATTATCGACCTCAATCGCACTATGGCTCGCCTGAGGGCCGAATTGGGACAGGCGGAGGCGAACTTGAAGGGGCTCCAGTCCGACGTTGTGAAGGTCAGTAAGAACGCTGAGGCAGAAACTCGACGCCTGCTAGCCTTGCGCCAGGCAGACGCTGCCGCCCGGTCGAGCCGCGAAGACCGAATTCGGAAGGCTGCTAAAAACAAGGCTCGGGAAGACCACGCGAGCAAGGTGGAGGTGGCCAAAGAAGAGATCTCCACTTTTAGCGTGTTCGACTGAGACTTCTGTCTTATGATTGTGTTAAGACATTTTGTTTATGACTTGTTTGTTTATGAAGTCATAACTTTATTCAAATGTATTGTCTTAAAAACTGGGTGCATGTTTTGCTTCTTTGAACGTAATGTTACGATTTTCGCTTTTGCAAAAAAGACCATAACTTTGTTCAAATGTACTATCTAGAAGCATCCCATGAGGCTTGTGTCTACTCGTCGTGCGTACACTCTTTTGATATGTCACTTTCCAGTGTTTTGCTCTGTAATTGCCGACAATCTTGTGCCGCAGGCGAAGTTTCCTTTGTGATGACGAGTTTACCTTAAGGGCCAAACTCTATCCCGATGAGTTTACGCTGTTGGCAAAGCTAGGGTGATGGAGAGTTCTCTAAGATGGCGAAGCTCGGCTCCTGTCGAGTTCACATTGCTGGCGAAACTCAATTGATCGACGAGTTCATCTACAGGCGAGACACGAGCGCGGCAAGTTTTGCTAGGAGGCTGAACTCAACTGCTAGCGAGTTCGGGTGGATGGCCAAACTCAACTGCTGGTGAGTTTATGCTGCAGGCGAAACCCATATGGTGGCGAGTTTAGGATGAAAACCAAACTCAATTGATGGCGAATTTTAGCTGTAGGCGAAACCCGTATGATGGCGAGTTTACACTACAGGCGAAACTTGGATGGTGGTGAGTTTGTCAAACAGTCAGAAATCCAACTGCGGGCGAAGTTTGTGCCACGCGTCTGTCCGCGGACCCAAGTGCTTGCCAGCTAAGACTCTGCGGGCACATTAACGCTCATTAATGGCGAAGCGACCGAACGCTTCACCTCTCGTGCCCAATCTGATCGGTCGGTTTGGGGTCTCGAGAGGAATGGCCTTTATTGGCGTTGAGTTCGAAGCGTCGCAGGACATCTGGGCCGCTCGATCGCTTGGGGAAACAAATCTCAGCCGTTGGGTTCTTTTCGAATATATATCCGTACTCGCCTCTCTTCAGCAGAGTTCTTACTGCTTCAAGAAAAATCCGCTAGGAGAAAACCACCGCAGTAACTTCCTCTGCTCTATGGCTTCTTCTTCCGATCGTAGCGATTCCGAGGATGTCAGCTTTCTGCCACCGGTCGTGCGGACGTCGGCACACTGTTGACAATCTCCTTGCGGGTTCAAGCCCATGGGTCTATTGCTCCGGACGCCGCGTGGCCTCACGCCGCGTTCGTTCCCCTCCCAGGAAGTTGGTGATTTGTGCAGGGGATCGCCATCTGGTCCAGCGTGGGCAACAGTCGATATTAATGATGCGCTTCCTCTCGTGAAGGCAGTTAGAGGCAGGTCCGCCACGCGGTGATGCCTCTCTCACACAGGCGATGTGAGCGGGAACATTGAGCGCGTGGAGGGGTTGATGTACCCGCCGTCGAGAGCTGGCCTATGAATGAAATCCCTCTGATGTCTGTAGGACGTCAAAAAAAATACCTCTATGGGCTTACAGGAAATTCGCCTACGAGAAGAACTCACACGTTCAATTCTCTAGCACGGGCCTAAACCGTGTAGACGCCAAATGTATTCGATTCTAGGTTCGCCTAACGATCGGCTCGCCTGCACGAGTTAAGGTCGATTGGGATAGCGGAAGTCCGCCTCTTACGCGATTCGCCTGCCCGAGTCCAAAGACGAATCCGCCTGCAAACCTCAAGGCCACTAGTACAGTTGGGTATCCGCTACCCCACGTGCTGAGATGGGCCATCCCATCTCTCTCGACCCGAAGGGAGAGAACACGGCACCCCCAGACCGTCAAACAGCCGCTCACAGTACGAAGGCCTAGACAGGTGTCGAGTCAACCTGAGCATTCATAAATGCGACTCACCTCAGCTGTCTGAGTCAAGAGCTGGATCCGCTGGCACTCGGCAGGTTAGCTAGACCCACTCGAGTACTGTGCACCTACTTCGCCGCATCTCCTGACCGGAAAGGAGAAAGCACCATGCTCAAAGCACGCCGGGCGGTCACGCACAGTACGAGTGATCGGACAGACACCTCATCAACCTACGAACTCATAAATGCGGTTCATTAATGCTGGTCAAGTCCACTCAGATAGCAGACGGCCATTGCCTCATATGCAAGGATGGGCCTTCCCATTTTAGATGACAAGACATAAAGCACAATCCCTGGAATAACCATTCATGGTATCGAGGAGCAGCTAGACGTCTCTGAAGAAGATATGGTCACATCCCATAATTCAAGGAACAACCACGCTGTCTCTCCGTTACTTAAGGACTTCTTCCGCCCTGGGAGAAGGAGGTTCAGAAATGGAGAATTCAGAGTTCAACTTCTCTTCCAAGTCAAGAAGAAGGAACTCGGTCGTTCTAGCGATTGAACGATTCGTTCATAGTTAGATCAGCCAACTGAACCATAAGCTGCTCGCATTCTCCCTGCGTTACAGCACCACTGCCTAGTTCTAAGCTCCGATCGCCGACGAACTAAGCAGACCCGAACTCGATCGACCTGAGCTTCTACTGCGTACTGAAGCTCTCCAGCAACCTCATTCAAACGGTCCAAGGGAACCAGACTCGACACGAGCATCGAGCGAAGCATCCTGTAGCTACCTAAAGTCCCCACAAAAACAAAGAGGGCATTCCCTCTGCTTCTGTTGTAATCATTTGATTATTAGTTTGTAATAAGCTTTCTTATAAATACAAACGAAACTCCCTTTTCCGGGAAATCAAATTTCTACCCTACAGAAGATGGCGACCATAGTGGGAGAAGCTGTTTCATCGAGTGAAATGATGGTGGCTCAGTTTGATGAGGTTGCTGTTGGGACGACAGTGGAGTCCCTAGAAATTGAGTTTGACCAGGCCAAGTACGAAGAGTACTTGTCCTCCTCCTCCTCTGGTGGCGATGCGTCCCGCAAATGTTACAGAGTCGTGCGTCGAGGCCGACCTCAGACGGTCAAAGCCTCTGCACCTGCGGGTTCTACCCGAGTCTCATCGGAAGAACCCACTCCCTCACAATCGATCAAAGCCAAGCCGGAGATCGAACGCAAGGGGCAAGGGTCTGCCAAATGGGTCGCCAAGTGATCCCCGCAAACACCTACCCCAAAGGGAACGACGGTTAACTCCGGCACCAACTGCACTGCCACAGCTCGCGATGACGCCCTCCCTGCTGGGAGAACTAACCAACAGCGACGGCAAAAGCCCGTCAGACAGGAGGTCCAAGCCTCCGTTTCTCATAATGGCCTAAACCATCACACAAGCCCGGAGAACGCTAGGCGAGAAGGCAAACTGCCCGACATCGAGAGGCCCTCCAAGTTAGGAGCGCCGACCGAGGAAGGCAGAGCCGCCCGCTCGGGAAGACTTCGCTTCTCAGGTCATATCCCTGATGCGAATAACTCACTTCCAAGGAGTGAGCCTACCCGAGTA